ATTCAGTTGGAATGAGAAGCTGCATTCCTCAGGAGCTGTGGACCAGTTATCTGCACTGTCTCAGTTCCCCATGGACCACTGATCAAAGGCAGAGAGGCATATGATAGCCACCCTCTTGTTCTCTGCCTCTTTCTTTTCTCTTTGTCCCTCCTCTTTTTTGTCTCAATGACCCCTCGTGCCTTTTCCTCTCCTACTGTCTTATCATCCCCTCTGCTGCTCACCAGCATTCTTTCTCTTCTCCTTCAGTCTGTCATCCCTTTAACTGATTTGCAAATGGGGTGCTGCTGGCAGCTCATGCGAATATGTTCCTCAGCCTTTGTCACTACAGTGATCCGATGTGCTTTGTTTATATGAACTTCAACTGCAAGTCTTTAAAATGGTCTATCCATGTGGAAGTGTGACAGCCCTTGTGTTGCAGTTTGAAATATATTTTAGGCTTATTTGCATGCCTCGCTTCAAAACCAGCAATGGCATAGAAAGAAAGAAGGAAAAAGCAGGACTCTAGGAAAACAACATTAAAACATATGTGGGGCTCTGCTTTTGTTTAGCCATAGCTACAGCTTAATGAATATGAGGAGATGCTGCCTGCTGTTGCATTGTGTTTGCTGAGCAGAGCACTGGCCAAATTTAGAGGAGTGGGGTGACTGTGCCAGAGCAGCTCTCCCACTCTGTAATACATGCAACCATGCCAATATCTTATTTGGATTCACCCAGGTCAGCATAGTTTTCCAGCCAGCCAGAGAGCCAGACTGCCAACAAACTAAACAGCCAAATGGATGTTTATAATTTCCTTCTGAGTACATTTTGGGATCATTAATTCACTGTTTGGAAATAATTGGTCTGCAGTGCTGATTGGTCATTCAAAATTCCACTCACAAATTCACATAAAAATATTAATGTGTGGTGTGTGCAAGTGGAGGGTGGCATGATGGTGCAGTGGTTAGCGCTGCCACCTCACAGCAAGAAGGTTCCTCTCTGAGCAGAGTTTGCATGTTGTCTTGTGAGTTTTCTCTGGGTACTCTGGCTTCCTCCCACAGTCCAAAGACAGGTTGATTAGTGACTTCAAATTGCCTGTGTGTGGTTGTCTGTGAGTGAGCTTAAGAAATGTTGGTAGATCTGATGTCTGTTAATGTTGGTGATCTGCTTTGTTGTCATTAGGAATCTTATCTGTAGAAATATGGGGAGGTTTTCTGATTGTCTAGGTATGACTAATCTAGAAATGAGTTCTGCTTGGATGGCATCTGAACTGAGGGGACACTGAAGCTCCTGATGTACTGGTGAAGAGGTCTGCACCTTTTTTTTTACATTTTTGTTTTGTATTTTATATATAATGTTGTATTAATTGTCTTTGTATTTATTATATTTCTTCTTTTATTTTTTTATAGTAGTGCTGTCGCCTCACAGCAAGGTTCTGGGTTCATGCCCGGGCCGACTCAGGGCCTTTCTGTTCGGAGTTTGCATGTTCTCCCTGTGCCCGCTTGGGTTCTCTCCATGTACTCTGGTACTTCCTCCCACAGTGCCCGTAAGAGTGAGTGTGAGTGTGTGTGGTTGTTTGTCTACATGTCAGCCCTGTGACAGACTGGCGACCTGTCCAGGGTGGACCCTGCCTCTCACCTGATGACAGTTGGGATTGGCTCCAGCCCCCTTGCGACCCTCTTCAGGAATAAGTGGTATAGATAATAGATGGATGGAAGGATTATTTAATGGACCTTCAACATGTCTGAAATAAAGTTTGATGGTGATGATGATCTTGACAGTGCCTGCTGTCAAAATTCGCCACATTGTTCAGTTTTTTGAATAAGCTAAGCTACACACATAAAAAAGACAAAGGCAGGTTTTCGTTTTTACTTTGCTGATGCCAAATCTTATTTAAGCAGTAGTATGTCTCATTATTCATTTTGATATTTCAGTGTTAATATATAATGTCTGTTGATGATTGTTTTCCACATAGTAGTTGCATGGAACATGGTGTCCATGACAGGAAGCCATATGAGAAAGCTGTTGTCCTCAAATAAATATCACTATGCACCTGAAGTTTCCAAAGAGCATCTTCACCTTTATAAATCTTCTTGTGAGGTGTGGTTTACAACAGCAGATGCTTCTTCTGAACAGCAAGCTGTTTTTATTAAGTCAAAGTAGTTTTAACCCACAGTCATTGTTTGGACTCTTATTACAAGCCATTTTAACATTTAACCGAACCACAGTCCTATCTGTAATGACATCTGAGATATCCATAATAGCATCTCTCCTAGTCAAAACTGTATTCTAACTAGTCAGAATTAAAGAAACTGTATTTCAAGATATTTACAACTTTGATGTTACTAGTCAAAACAAAATGTCAGATATCGAAAGCTCTTTATAAAGTATATTCTTCTCCTTCTCCTTATTATAATTAATGTGGCTGTTTTAACACTAGACTGGATATACATTGCAGATATCTGTAATTCACGTCTAGTCAAAAAGATTAGTGATATCCACAAACTCAGTCTTCCTATAGAACAAATGACATCACCTTTACCACTGTGTTATTGATAATAACCAAACTGTTAGAAACTGTCTACAGGAAAGTAATTAAAAGACAAAGGTGCAAAGAGTTATATTATTGTGAAAGATGACAATGATCACTGATGTGATAGTCACGTGATATTTTTCTTCTCTCTTCCACAGTTTGTGTTTCTATATTAGAAAGAGCCATTGTGTGTGTGTGTGTGTGCACAATATGCAATATGTTCAACACTGTGTGTGCAGCAACATGTGGGTGTTGGGACATCTCAATCACAGAGCAGAGATCAGGTTCAATTACACATGCAATAACTTTTAAGTCTCAGTAGACCTAAAAACCATTTATATGCTAATAAGTATGACAGCAGTAATGACTTGCAATAAAAAGACATCTGCTGCTTGATCAAATGTGATATTAGAGCATTACCACAATCAGCCTTTGCTATTTGTCCTCAAACCATTTGTTAGCCTCAGAACTCCTTGTGGGAGGTGTTTTTTGGCATCTGGCATTAGTGATGTAATAACCCTTCTCCCACTCCTTTCTTGTCTTCCGGCAGCATGTGAAAGTGTTGTGTTTGTGTTTTAGCTGCATACTCTTGGGGGAAATTGAAAGTGGGCACTTTTTTCTATTGAGTCAAGTCTGCCTAATATGAATCAAGATCACAACAGAGAATGCTTTCACCTCTGTTTAAACATCATCCATTCTCTGGCTCATACCTTCACGTCTGACAAGGAAAGACTCCCTTGACAAAACCTTCCTCCCTTTGACCTTTTCCCAGGAGCTGTGTTATGGCAAATCAGCAAAGGTTAGCATGCTAAACTAAAACAGTGAACATGTTAAACATTATGCTTGGTAAACATTATAAATATGTTTAAACAGCAGCATTTTAGCGCTGACATAGTGAGCATATTAGCCATTTACCATCTACATGTATGATGTTTGCTTGCTGAAATTACCATTTAGCTCAAAGAACTGCAAGTCTCACAGAGCTGGAGCTGTAGACACAAAGAAATGCAATTGTCCGAAGACTCCCACCTACTGTGTTCCAATTTTGTTCTAGTATCTTCATTTCTCAGACATAGCTGAAGACATGGTTGGTAGTCAGTGAACCTCGATTCACAGTTTGTGTGTTTTTTTTTTTGTTTTTTTTTACTATTTCAAGGTCCAAAAATCATCTGTAGCTCTAACAGTGGAGTTGATAGCCTATATATCAAATATAAAAATCAGCACTCTGTGTACATTATTGATAGAATTTTGTTTGATATGTATTCATACATGCAATCAAATTAATACAACAATATCAAAGGATATTCACTGAAGTTCATCAAATTCAACAATGGCCATGCATGACAGCAAAAGTATGCATCCCATCTTATTCCAATGAGAGGAGCCTGCTGTGTGCAGCTCTCACTTCAAGGGCCTGAAAAAGATCAATAAGAAAGAATAGCAGTAGGCCCGGACTACAAATTGAGCAGCCTTTAATCACTCCACACAGTTCACAGCGTGTGTAAGTTCCTGCCATGAAAAGGTTTAATCACTGGCCAAGCTGAATAGAGTCTTCTTGCTGGTGCACAGAGTCTAAGGGGACACATGCACATGTGAATTTTCTAATGCACCTAAAAGCACACATGCATACATGGATGGTCATTTGTGCATCCAGATAATCTTTTGCATACATGTGTACATGGGACTTTAAAATGACCCACTTATATAGCTGCTGAATAACCTCCAGTTTATAACGTCTTTAATTTGGTGAGTTTGTTAGCACATAAAGTAGCTCACGGGAAAAAGGCAATCATTATTTGTCAGCCAATTCAAAGGTTTCACAAGCAAATGATAATTACCTGACCCAAGAGTCAATGGCTG